GAGAGAGAGAGAGAGAGAGAGAGAGAGAGAGAGAGAAGGGGGGAGAGGGGGAGAAAGAGAGAAGGGAGGGAGGAGAAGAGTGAGACAGAGGAGGAGGGGGTGGAGAGAGGAGAGGGGGAGAAGATCTAGATTTGAGAGCCAGTACCATTGAGTTCATTTGGTGCAACTCCGTCATTTTACAATTGAACAATTGGTGGCTGAGTTTGTCTCGGTATCTTCAAATCCTAAAGGACCTGGGTTCAAATCTGCCATTTATTTCCTGTGTGACCCTGGACAAGTCATCTCATCTCTTTGGGTCTTGCTATTATCATCTGCAAAATAAAGGGAATGGAGTTTTCTAAATTGGATTCTAAACCTAACCCCCTTGTACAGATGGAGAAACTGAGGTCCAGAGAGACTCACAGTGAGTCCCGGAAATCTAGGATTAGAACATAGATCTCTTAACACCCTCTCTTTCATTCTACAAACATTTATTAAATATTTTACGTGTGTAATACCCCTGTGCCTGGCTATGGAAGACACACAAAGTTTAGATAATCCCCACCCCTCCCTGCCCTGGGGGAACTTACAGTCTATTGGGGTAATAGATAACTACACCATATAATATTATATAGTAAACATATTGGAAAAGAAGGAGGGAGGGAGGGAGGACGAGAGAGAGAGAGAGAGATTGAGAGAGAGAGGCTATGTGAGACCTGATGGGAAAGATCATTACCAACCAGGGGGATGAGGAAAACTGAAGGAAATGCCATCTGAATTGGGATTGAAAGCTTGAGGGGAGACATTCCTGGCATAGAGCAGACTGAGTAGGCAACTCTAGGAGAGCATAGGGTGTGTTCCTCAGACAGGGTAGATCAATATGGCACTCTATGGAGTGCATAGAGGGAAGTAATATGAGCTGGAACTGGGAACATAGGGGAGTGCCAGAGGGTGGAGAGCTTCCAATGCTAGTCACTGGAGACTGGACTTAATTCCACAAACCAAAGCACAGGAATGACAAGATCCGATCCATGCTTAAGAAAAGATGAAGGCTTTGTTGTGAGGAGGTATTCAAGTGGAGAGAGGGAAAGCAAGGAGACCTCCCAGGACCCTCTTGCATTAGTCTGGGGGGTCATGGGGACAAGGGGACTAGCAGTGGGAAGAGAAGGAAGGATGGACTGGAAGGATTTCTTAATGTATTGGAGCCAATGGAAACAGAATTATCTTGGAGTCAGTTTAAGTACCCCATTTCTGCCCCTGACTTTATAGTATGACTGGCCAAGTCTCTCATCTCTGGGCCTCAGTGCCCTCTCATAAAGGAAGGGGGTGGACTGGATCTCTGAGGTACTGTCCACTCTGATGATCTGATCCACCACCATGGCTGCTTTGAGAGGTGCCGCAGCTCTGGGGATCTCAGTTTCCTCCACTGTAAAATGGGGCTAATGGAGACTGAGGCTACCTGCCTTACCTGAGATGTTGTGAAGCAAGTGCTTTGGAAACCTTAAAATGCCCAAGAAATGTATGCTGTCACAATTATCAAACCACAGAATGTCAGAGCTGGGAGAGACCTTAGCATATAGAATGTCAGGGTTAGAAGGCATCTTAGAACATGGAATGTCCGGGTTGAGACAGACTTTAGAACACATAATGTCAGGATCAAAAGAGAGCTTAGAACACAATGTCAGAGAAGGGAGAGACCTTAGAACATAGAAAGTAGTAAAAGCCACGTGGTGCGATGACTAATATTGATAAACTTAGCCCTTCCCAGCAATGCTAGGATCTAAGACATCTCCAAAGGCCTCGTGATGGAAAATGCTCTCCACATCCAAAGAAAGAACTATGGAGTCTGAATGCAGATCGAAGCAAACTATTTGCTCTTTTTTTTCCTCTCCTGTTGAGTTTTGTTTCCTCTTTCTGGTGGTTCCTCCTATTGGTTCTAATTTTTACTTACAACATCACTAATCTGAAAATATGTTTAATAAGAATGTGTATATATATACATATATACATATACATATATATGTACATATATAGAGAGAGATAGAGATATAGATATAGCCTATATCAGATTGTGTGCCATCTTGGGGAGGGGGGTNCATATATACATATACATATATATGTACATATATATAGAGAGATAGAGATATAGATATAGCCTATATCAGATTGTGTGCCATCTTGGGGAGGGGGGTGGGGAGAAAAGGGGAGAAAATTTTTTACTCAAAAGCATATGGTAGTGATTGTTGATAAATCAAAATAAATTAATTAAGAAAAAGAACATAGAAAGTCAGGGTTGAGAGGGACTTTAGAACATATGTCAGGATTAGAAGGAAGCTTAGAACACATGTCAGGACTGAAAGGGAGCTTAGAACACAACATCAGAGAAGGGAGAGACCTTAGAACATGGAATGTCAGGGTTGAGAGG